ACATCGATCATTTTTTGGTTCTGTAAACCAGTTCATCAAGTTTGTTCCAAATTTAGCTTCTTTAGGAAGTCCGCTTCGTCCGCTTCTTAATAAGAAATCGATATTCCAATGGAATGATGACCATACAAAAGCGTTTGAAGAAATTAAACAAGAATTTGAAAACCTAGCAGAGAATACCCATTTTGACGTAAAACGCAACACTAGAGTAGAAACGGACGCGTCACACAATGGTCTGGGAGCTTCCCTCGAACAACGCCACGGGAACGACTGGAAAACAATTTCTTTTGCCTCTCGCTTTTCAAACCCACACGAGTCAAAACATTCTACGAACGAGCTCGAATTGTTAGGGGTCGTATGGGCCGTCGAACATTACAAGAATTACCTTTACGGATCGGAATTTGAAGTTATTACTGACCACAAAGCTCTAATGTCCGCCCTATCACCAAATCACGGAAATAAAACATATCATAGTAGATTAACAAGATGGGTAGACAGATTGTTACCTTCAATTTTTCAATCAAACATCTAACAGGAAAGGATATGGGCTTCACCGACTTTATTTCTAGGATTCCATCTGGAAAAGCTCTCCCAATATCTCATTACGACGAGGAAGTTGTAGTAGCAAATATTAATAAGATTAACAAATCAATTATTCCGTCGGAGAAACAAAGAATTACCTGCTCAGCCATTGGCTCTAATCTGGAAAATTCCAATTACGATTTATTACGTAATTACCTAATAGCGTCAGTACTAAAACTTATTAACTCGACTTTCCCAATTTGTTCATTTAATCACAAAAGAACGGAATTTTGTACCTCAAATTGCATTCCAACGGATTATTCTAAAACAAACACATTAATTATTTCTATTTCTAATCCCGCTTTTTTTTTACTTTTTAATTCTTAATTGTAGATTAATTAACTCACCTGTAGATTAAAAAAAATGTAGATACTGTTAATATGAAAATAAGAATATTGTAATTAATCCCTCCACTTCCGGTAATTCAGTAGATATTACCCGACCATGCTAATCTTGTTAAAAAATACCGCGAAAACTTGAAGTTGCCGGATCGACCCTTGGACTTGAACAGTTTATTTAACGCCAAGCTGGTAGCGCTTTTGACAGAAGACGACCCCATGTTGAATCCAATTGTTAAAGCACTTCAAAATCAGGTGGAGAAGGTTAATGCAAATTCGCGTTATTTCAAACACTTCTCCAGAGGTCTACACGAATCCGACGGATTACTTTACATGGACGGTAAACTTGTTATACCTTTTACCCTGAGTAACGCAATGATGAAGACCCTCCACGAAACTCATCCAGGCCAACTCGGAATGAAGTATTTGGCCCAATACATCTGGTGGCCTCATATTAACAGGCAAATTTACTTCCATGGAATAAATTGCTCAGAACGCAAATCGGCGAGTAAGAATCTAAAAACTGTTATTCCAAATTCACAAACTGGTGAACTTCCTCCATTGTTGGAACCAAACAAAGAACTTAACCTAGATTTCGCTGGTCCTTTGGATTCTTATTGGGGGTCAAACAAGTATATATTACTTTGCATCGACAGATTTTCTAAATTCTCGTCGGCAAAAATTACATCTTCTACCTCTACAAAAACAGTTATCGAATTCTTACAGGATTACATATTTTTACATGGTATACCGTATTCAATAAGGGTAGACCACGCTACTTGCTTTACAAGCCAAGATTTTAAATTATTTTGTGATTCTAACAACATTAAAATAGTATTTTGTACAGTAGGCGACCATCGTTCCAACGGATTAGTCGAAAAATTGGTACACACTGTAAAAATCAAACTACTTGCTATTTCAAAAGAACATCAAAAATGTACTCTGCAAAACGCCGTTTCAAAGATTATCTGGAATTTACGTTCAACTTACCAATCAAAATTAAATGTTCACCATTCGAATCAACTATAACAGAAAACCAAATACAATTTGTAAACAACTAGCTTCTGGTAAACCTTCCTTTGGAATTTTAGACAAAGGGAAGTCTATTTTATCTAAAGAACGGGCGAAAGACTGGAACGCGGATGATAGACTAGAGGATGGTTACAAGGACGATTTGGTAGCGAAAAAGAACCAAACGCCGACCGAAAAGGGCTACGACACTGACTACGCCTCATCCTCGAAAATCAAGCCTAATAGATTACCAATCAAAAGCCCCTTCAAAGATAAAATCCTTCGAAAAACTAACGGTAACATCAACCGAGACTTTTTCTATAGGGAACTAAACCAAAGAATAATAAATTCGTCTACCTCGACAGTAGAATTATCCGACGGAAAAATAATACGAAAATCCGACATTGCGATTCCTAAATCTACCTCGAATAAAATCAGACCTTTTAAAGGTAATATTTAATTCCCTTACTTTCCTAATCCTAATGTTGAAGTAGGTCAGAAACAGGAGGGCTCAAGACGAAGACAAAAAACGAAAAAGGACTCGTAGACAAGTGGAACTGGTCCCATCCGACAACCTGACAGGGACACGCGTATCGGGGTCATCCTACAAACAAACCAGAAGACAAACCCGTCGCTCAAAGAAGTCGTCAACCCCTCCAGGTTACCTTGCTTTGGATGAATCCATGCTAATTCCTTCGGATATTTCAGATACTAGCGAATGGGAATGGATAGCGGGCGGTTTTCCTTGTAGGGATGTAGCCAGAGAGCGCTTTATTTCAGACTCACACACAACCCATTTCCCAAATGGAATCGACCCTAATTCCGGCGTAACCAATACTGAAATAAAATCTTAGATTTTAGAAGACGATACGGACCTAAATAGAGATCAATTCGAGGATCAGACTCACGAGTGCCCAATTAGCATTATTCCTGCTAATCGAACTCTTAGCGCACTGGAACAGAGGACTACAACCCAGGGAGAGGAAGAATCCACGATCAAACCACGGGACCTACAGGATGAACATAATCCAACGGATTCGGGCTCAATTTCAGATTTCCCGGTGTGCGAGACAATTGATTCAGCGGGCGAGTGCACTCCACCTCTCAACCCTACTAACATACCTGGTATAGTTCTCCCCACCATCCGCCATTCTAGTAGAAATGTTGGCTCACCGACATTTTACGGTCGAAGATATTTTAGAGATGCCGTAGACAAATCACAAGAAGCCTCTGGTTCAGCAGCTGATCCCATCGTGATAGAAATCGACGATATCACTACTCACGAGACAGTCAACAACACGGCTCCGGCGGAGTTAATTTTATTGGACTCGAATTTGCCATCTCCAGACCAGACATCCACCCCATCAACCGATGAATCACTAAGGATGGAAGTGGAAAATTTCGGAGATCCGTCCGAACTTGATAGTGAACTCTTTAACGCCGAACTAGAAAACTTTCTAAACGAGTACAGAAATTTGTAATCAACAAGCATAATACCAACCTTTTGTTTCGAGTACATCCCATTTTCACACCGGCGCTAAGCTATATTTCTTGAAATTGAATTAGAAGATTTTGTGTACACTAATTTTCGTAACTAATCAATTCCTTCGGAGTAATTATCCATAAATTGACTCACCACACCCGGCTGTCATAAAATCCTTATCGGACAAAACATTTATCTTACGCGATGTAATACCTTGCCTTTACTAAGTCGCGGTGATAATTTCGTCGTATTTTAATTTATTTACTTTCTTACATCTTATCCGTCGGATACCGGATAACCATATCTTCATTCCATCGGTGCAGTACTTAGCACTATAGTGGCGCTTTAGTTAATTTCAGTTTCTTATTTAGCGGTGCTTTAAATTCTTTCCCTCGTCCTTAAAGGGGGAGAAAGGACTCAGACTCAGTTATTTCGTATTTCGTACTTATTAAGTGTAAATTAAAAATTTTTCCTGCCTAGAGGAATGTTGTGATTGCATCATATTTTGCATTTATTGCAAAACGTATTTAGTTTTAATTAACAGGTCACTCCTCTATGACCTTCATTGGCCATTCTCTCCGGCGGAGAGAATGATCTCTCAGTGCTTTAATGTTTTAACTTACCGACTAATTAATCTTAATTCTTATTCTTGTTAATAGTTTTAACTTAGAATTAGCTACAACAAAGTAATATTTTATCAAATTTGGAAAAAGGGAAAATGTCAGAAACTAGACTACTGAAGATCGTTGAGAAAACGTGTCGAGAAGTAAAAAAACTCGCAAGCATTTAATTATCATTAGGATTAAGAATGTTTAACGGGTCATTCTAAAAAATATAATGGCGGATTATTTTTTTCAGAAAAAGTCTTGATGTGGAATCAAGCCGAAAAGTAGTAGAAACGCAAAAATCCGTGAACCCAATTTGAAAACGTAAAGACTTAGCCCTGACTCGGATCTCGCACTGGTTTTGATTCTCAATTGGCAGAATCAAACAAAATTCAAACAAATCAACAAATTTTTCACATGCAAATTCCGCGAAAAATGTTCAGGATAAAGTAAGCAAAAAATCTAAAATAAAAAGCAAAAGTTTCACAAAAAACAAAAAATTCTAGCAAAATAAAACTATTACTACCCACGGACAAAATATGTGGTTAAAATGATTTTAGTATAAAACAGTTCCTAAAATTATCGCCAAAATTTTGAATTCTCAAGAAAACCATCTAAAATTGGTCTACTGCTTGAAAAAATTCAAACTAAATTAAAGCAACTTCCTGCTGATTTAGATGCTCAGTTTGTTTTCGGTTCTTTCATACTTCGGTTAATTTATGCACACATAAATCAAAAGGGGGAGCCGTGGTGGATCAGTTTCCGTTTCTCAGTTGTAAGGTTGATGTTTCGAGGATCTCCATGATTTGTGCTCAACTTTTGAAAAAAAAACCAGATATATAAGCATAATATTTTCTGTAAATCTTTATCAAGGACGCGCAGCAGCAGCCTTCCGTTAAGAGCTGAACAACTCTTAAGCTTTAGTAAAATATTGCTTTCCCTCGTGGTTAAATTGTTTTAAGTTAAGTTAAAATGTGAACTGACATTTTTGAGTAGTTGGAATGCGGTGGTGAGTGCCGTCTGGAAGTTGGCAATCCCAATTGACCCTCCCCTCATAGTCTTCTCATCCAGCTTCTTCTTCATTATCTGCTTGTTGTCCGAGTTAGCCTGCACCAAGTGGCCGTTGAAACACTCCTCCAAGTAGTTCGTCTCCTCTGCAAACTGGAATAACACACAAACGACAGCTAAGTCAAGAAGAATGTAACTGCCAAATCAAGCAACGCAGCAATAATACAAAAATGGTCGCTTTGCAATAAATCAAAAAGGCCGCAAAAATTTTGTAAAATTTGTTCATCGGAATGGGGCAGTGATGTGCACAGAAATTTTATCGGGAAATTTCAAAAAAAGAAAGGTTGATATTTTGTGAAACTTTCTTCCGGCAAAATCCTATAATAATCATAATCGGCACAATTTTCGGTTTAGCAGGTGATTTTTTGAAAAAAAAATATTACTTTTCAGCATTTCCGCTGTAGGCGCTCTTCGCAAGTTCATAGGTTTAACCAGCAAGGCACGGCTGTCGAAAAATAGTACCAACCCCAATGGTTCAATCACACTCAATTTTCAATTAAGTAGTTTCGCAGCCTAGCATATGTGAACTGAGTATTATTTTATTAAGGCCAGAAATAATAAAAACAAAAATAATGATTACTGTGAGTATGTTGAAAAAGTCATCGTCCAGAAGTGTTTCGATGATGGTTTGGACAGCATTGCTGGCCACAAACTCCCTACTACCAGTCATGCTCCCACTGGAATCAATGAGGATGACGACATCTTTGGGTGAGTGGGAGGCCTGCAGATACCAGGACCTCTCTCTTGCGTCATACACGTCCACGTCTCCCTCGCCCACGCCCCAATCCACGCCTACAGATGTTCAAAAAACACAAAATAATGAACGGCACAAAACACGAAAAAAAACAATGGATAGAACGTACCGGGATAGTTTCGGAAGAATCCGGTGGAGCTGGCAAAGTACTGCCAGGTTAAGGTGGGGTCCTTCTTGTGGTTCTCCTCAAACACTCGGTTCAGACTCTCCGTGAAGTAAATCCCATTCACCACGTCTGGGTCTAGAAACACAAAGGAACAGAAATAAAACCAACTTGAATGATCAACCATGCTAGAACGCTAACAGAGACTCATGCTGTTAATATTGATGTTTTTATAGTGAAAGGATAATTTTTAGTAAATCAATTTTGTTACCAAGCCGTGGCATTGGGACTTGGCCTTGGAAGTTTCGACTGTAGATTAGGGTGTTTGAACTAAATTTAGGTTTGAATTTATTCCAAAATTGTTTTCAAAACAATAGTGACAAACACTGAAATTCTTCCACACCTGCAATATAAAAAAAGTGATATATTTCGCATATATTAACACGTCATTTGGGTCCATTAGCAAGCCTCAAATAAAATTAGAATAATTTGTAACATTTTACTGAAAATGTGACAAGTCAGGCGGTCTTTCTATCCCAATTCGGCCCAAATAGTCCCTATAACTTCATCAAATTTAATGTCGTGCAAAATAAATCTTTCCCGCCAATGATGAAAATGGCTAAAAACTCTGGTGTATTAGTTTTTCTGGTTACCCAAACACAATAAGGTGCCACAAATAATCATTGGAACGTGAGTGGTTTATAATTTTGAAGCCCGATTTGACCGAATTTATTATTTTTTAAATTGTCCCAGTTACAAGAAAAAATAGTTTAAAATTTTTGAGTTTTAGTGCCATTTTGAGCAAAAAGAGCAACCGAGTATTCAAATTATTGAAAGACAAGCAAAAAATTTTTTATTCAAGACCTGAAAAAATAGTCTTGATCCAGTTGAAATTGTTTTTAAAGTTTTTTTAGAACCATCTTGGGAATAAAAAATTCAAAAATAATGTTTTTTTAAATATTTTTCTCTAATCGTTTTATAAAACAAAATAAGATAGCTCAGTATTTCTAAATCACTATTACTATCAAATATACTTAAAATTAAATTTTGTTCTTGTTTTTTTTCCACGCCAAAAAACGACATTATTTTTGAAAAAAAAACACGAATGTCCTTGTTTTAGTTTAAAGTTGCATTTTTTGATGGTATAAACTTAACTGGTGTAAAATTATTTGAACTCAACAAAAAACTTTACTGTCGATTTTTATTTTCAAAAATAATAAACAATCATTAAATATTATATCAAAAGCGAGGAAAAACTTGCGTTCCGATTTTTTGTGGAAATTTGTGCGTCTAGAAACAATTTCGAAATCATTGAAACTCACTTAGAATTTGAAAACTAGATTATACAAGTCAAACCACAAAAAACGGTAACATTTTTTCGTTTTTAACCCCTCCACGAGAAGCAGTCCATCCACGGGTGCGTTTTTCCAACGCAAAGTTGTTTTCTGCTATTACACAAAACGTAGTTGTTGGGCAAGTAAGAAATATTCAGTGAAATCCTTTCGATTGCAATTCGGATAGAAGTGAACGTTTTGAGAAAAAAAATTTCGCGGCGTAATTAAGACATTTCAACAGCAAAGAAATGTTGCTGGTAATAGATAAATTTCTAATTAAACATTATCAAACCTAATAATCAATTTTTAAGATACTTCTTAAAAAATAAAAAACTCAAAAAACTCAAATAAGTATAGCCGGTGCTGTGCAAGTAGTACAGAATTTTCAAACAACTGTATTAAAAGTAACAACAAAAAATATTATCTTTTTTCAAATTATCTTTTTTCAATATTTAATTTTTTTTTCAAAATATTAAAATAATAAATGATTCGACCCATTCTTTTGATTAGTTTTGGTACCTGATTTTGAGTGGATAACAGAAAAAAGCTAAAACAGACTCGAAGACAAAATTCCTGGGTATTTTCACTGATCAAAAATGTTTTTGAAAATTTTGCTTCTGGTTTCTTTTTCATTTTCTGCTTTTGCAATAATAACCGTGATCAGAACTTTCTGTGCTGATTGCCCAGCAAATAACTATCCTTGTTAAAATTCTAGTCTGCTCCTTTGTCGTATTATTGTTTACGCTTGACTCGGCGCAGCAAAAATTTTTCAGTTATATTAAACACGGATAGCTGGTGGGAGTCGAAGAAAAAAAATTTACGTTAGATTTAGTCAATAAATGCTAGAAAGAGCTATATATAGCGTTAAAATACTAGAAAAATTGAAGTTGAGCCCATCCTATTAGCTAGTTTTTTCTTATTTAATTTGAAAGTCGAATATATTCAGAACAGTTTCTCTTGACTCAGAGGTTTTTTTTCCGGTTCGTTTAAAAATCAATATCACGACCAACATCAGGGCTGTAATATGATACCACACTTGACCTTCAACGCATTTTCCTTGAGGCAGCCAAAATTGGGTTAAGGTCTTAAAAAAAGATCCAATTGCACAGTACTTTACCAATCTTCGAGAGTGATCGGAACAATTAGTTGCATTAATTTGCTCGATTCGTAAACGAACTTCTTATTTATCAATAACCTCTTTTGAATATGCTGACTGGCACTTGTAGTGTGCTGTGTGTCCAGTTAATGCTGGTGTCCTGGAACTGTTCGCTGGATATGAACACCATCTCCTTACTGTCGGGTCTCAACTCCATACTCTGGTTGCCCCATTCGTCAGTGACCAGTCGGTACTTGTTCAGGAAGTTTGCGTTGTAGTAGTCGAACTGAAAAGAACAACAAAGAGTACAACACTTTTTTTACCGACCAAATCGCAATAGTTTGAAGTTTTTGAACAACAACATGAACGGTAATAAATTTGAAACTAGATTAACGGTTATGATGAGTTAAATATATTTACATTTAAAAATTGAGCACCAAAAAACCCAAGTGAAAAACAAAATGATCGAGAATCGAATTTAGTACAAAACTTATAAAGTTTTAGCGCGATCTCATCCTCGTAAAATTCAGTTTCAATGTTTTTCCGACCCCTGGCCACCCGAAGAAAGAGTCCAATTAAAACAAATAGTTTTAGAGGCAAAAATTTTGGTTTTTTAATCATTTGCAGTTTGCAAGCAAAAATTACTGATTTTTAATTTAAAATTATGAGATTCACAATCATGATTGTATATGTTTTTAAATTTATAAATTTTTAAATTTAAAGAAAAAGGAATAGAAATTGAATTAATTTTATTATCAAAACTAACGTTAATTTAAAATTATGAACAAAATTTAGCTTGTGAATAGAAGTCAATAGAAAAACCAATATTATGCTTTCCTCATTTTTTCACTTGAAAAAGTGTCATTTTTTCATCATGCTTCTCTCAATTTTCCACGAACCAGACTTGTGATTTTTCAAATGGTCACACCATCTTGTCATTTGACATTACTCCCTCACTTCTAAGAGTGACACTGCAGGTATAAACGGAAATACTTCAAAAGATGATCGGCTCAGATTTATTCAAGATGAGCGGAGGGGAGAGGAGAAAGGGATTGAGAGCGAGGAAGACAGCTCGACTATATGGGGTCATAAAGAAACTACTTAATCCATAATTACCTCCAGATCTCGATCGTATTTGTGCTTCATATTCGCATCCTCCGTTTGATTGGCAATGTTCTGAAAAAAGTGTCAACAAATAATGAAAATAAACATGAAGTATGAAAAAAATGCTTGTTTTTTCGTTAAATATAGCAGTATAATCGATTTCGCTGTTAGATTATATAGATCCGTTCTGGTAGGTGCTTTTCTGGATGAATCAAAACGTCAATCAATTGTTTCGCTTTTTGCAGACCCAAAGATTGTTTATACTTTGGATTTACTTTGGTTCTGATTACCAGGGAGCAGAAAAAAAAGTAAATTTTTGGCTTACAAATAGTAGTTTGAGCAATTAAGAAACTAAGCAATCAACGAGCAAATGATTTTATTTTTGTCACATAAATCGTGATCAATTTCACCCGGACCTGTAATGGCTTGAACTGAACGTTGATCGACGCGCAAATTGTGAAATGTGTGAAAAAAACTGATTTGCATATAGGTTTTTGTGTGCAACGATTTTAATTTTGACTATAAATGAATTTTTTGCTTCAATTTTTTTTTTACCAGTAAACTTTTATGCTAGACGAGCTTTATGCTAGTCGATACACCGCCGTAATTTCTGACAAGGACGCGGTTTTTGCCTCAAAATGCTGAAAAATGGTTCAACTTCATAGATTTTTATCCGCACATAATCGAAATTGGCAGATTTTTCATCACAAACTTCAATTTATGGTTCTTTTAAAAACTGTTTTTAGGGTAAATTAACGCAAAATTATGTTTTTGCTCCATTTTTTTGCTGAATATACAGCAAAAAAAGGAAAAAAAATAGAAAAAAAAGTATCTACTTTTTTCCGCTCCCTGCTGATTATCAATGGCGGTAACTAAATTAGGTCTGGGAAAACAACGGAAAAAGAAGATACGCTCAAGATAATGCAAAATTGTGCCATATAAAACAAAATTGTGCGAGAGTCGAGGTCAAAAACTGTGGAGTGGAAGTACAACTGACCTCGATGGCAGTGATTTTGGCACTGAGCATCTTCTGCATCTCAGTGGCGAACTCCAGCACCATCTTTTCTCCGTCTATCTTGGAGATGCGGGGACTCTTCTGTCGCACAATCTGAAACAACCACAAGATGTAGAGAAATTTTTTTTATAGCTTTGTAGGTTCGATGACTTTGGATGCAATGACTTTTGGGATTCTTGATTTCTGAATTTTCTAACTTTTTGGGTTTCACGAACTTTTCAATTTCATGAACTTTTGGGTTTCATCCAGGGGCAGACCTTGGAGTTTCTTGAGGGGGGATTTTACAAAAACTTTCGAAAACTTTGTCAACCTATTTTTTACGCCCCAGGCAAAACTTTGAAAAAACAAGGTACGTTTTTAGGCACTTTTTGGAATTTGACCAAAAAAATTTTTTTTTTTCGGCGCGCATCAACCCCCCCTCCCCCCCCCCCCCAACCCGCCCTTAGAATAATTTTAGGCTCCGTCAGCCCAAAACGGATATCTCAAAATAGAACAAAGGGGGACCCTTTGGGTCGGCAGGGAGTCGAATCCCTGAGAAAAAAAACGACCGAGACCACGCCCTGCCTCCTAAATCTGCCCCTGGTTTCATCTTGTAAATTCTATTCTGGTGCATTCTACTCATCGTCCGTCTGCCAATTTTTATGGTTCATTCAATTTCATGTCAACCCCTCTTTATCAGTCAAAATACATTGGGTAACTTAGCTATATGAGTGGTAACTTAGCAGAGAGTCGAATCGAATGAAATTTAGAATGGTATACGAGTTTAATATCGATTTTGTCTAAGTTATATTTTGTCTATTTTGTCTAAGTTACAGCAGTTTAGATTTTTCAAAGATCAGAATTCAAAATGATATGATTATGTGCCTCAGATCAATGTAACCAAACCTTCTGAAAATGAATGGACACCACCTTTAAAAAAGAACTAAATGTCCATGAAATTTCATAGCCACGATGACTCACATCTTCCAGTTTTTCAGCCCCCAAGTTTTCACCGAGTGTTCTTCCGAAGTATTCATGCAGCTTCTCGCCCAGCTGCCGCACCCTGTGAACAAACGACACGTGGTTAGTATAGCACAAATTATCAGAAAATTATAATGAACAAAATGTTTAATTTCAACCTCTTCCTCTACCCAGAAACAGAAAGGTAGTACACAAACTTTTTGCACAGAAATTAAATTTTGAAATTTAAATTTTTTAACATAGTCACAACTTCAACATACCATTTCAGGACTTTGCACAGAAAGCGAAAAAAACCCACTTATTTGAACAAAGGCGTTGAAAAACGATTATTTCTCAAAATTATTCGTATTTGACCAATTAAAGACTTGACGAAAAACTGCAGGCTTAATTTTTGAGATCAATCTACTGAAGTTTTCTTTCATCTGCCTTAATTCTGTGATACTTGAGGGATGCTATGAGCAGATTATTGAAACGCCATAACCCCAAAACCAATAAGCTCAGTGAAATTTTTCCAAACTCTCCGAAAACCGTGATGAGAATACTCAAATTTTCGATGGTCAGATATTTTGTTAAACTTGATAAAGTATTGACGCGTAACAGCAGTGGTTGAAACGCTTTTTATCGTCAGAGAGTTTTGAAACCATGTTTTTTTTAGTATGACTGAAAAAATTTTTTCAAATCAAGTTTTGTTCACACAGTGCTAATTCCGGTAGTTTAAATTTTAGCAACTATAAAACGTCCTTAAACAATCTATCCAACCAGCTATTATTTGTGTTTGTTGCTTCTATGCATAGCTCGCAACTGATGCTTAAAGTTGTGCAGAATTTTTGAAACACCCCGTATGACTGAGAAATCGATTGTTGTGAGCATAAAGTGCGTGAAGACGTTCGTCCTGACCTTCGAAGATGAAAAAGTTCAGCTTGATTCCGTGACAGAACTATTGCGCATGGGTTTTAAAGAATTGCTTAGTCTCTGAGTAACAGGTTTTTTGAACGTTTCTTAAAGTATTAAAAAGAATATTGGATTTTTCCTATTCTCCTACTCCTACCCCAGTCTAGTAGAAAAAAATTATAGCCCCTACCCAGTTTGTCAATTTTCAAGTCATCTTAAGACAGTTAAGTTTTTTGATTAGTGAATTGATGAAAAAATGCATCCATTTTTTAGTACTGAACTACTCGCTGAGAAGAGTCAGTATAAACAAATGAACACGCCCATGCTAGTTGACAATGCATGTTTGATTGCTTTATCTGATTTATTCACTGGGGGCTATAAATTACGAGGGGTAGGGTCCATAGTGGGGAAGGACCCAAAATATGTTTGCCCTAAAATCAAAATAAAAAGGATATTGTAACTGCGATCATTTTTGAAGGTAAAGAGGGTTTCAATATGGCCAATTTGACCAATTTGAGAATAAACATGAGTACTTAACTTTAATATTCTCTTCTGCCGCGTAGCAAAGGAGGTGACTTGTTGCTGCTAAAGATTTTTGTTCCGACTTTCGTAATGAAAGTAACGGAATATTTGTGCTCGGGTAGGTTTTTTTTTCGTCAGACAAATTTCGAATTTTTAACTAGCCACTTTTGACTGAATTTTAAAATATCATTCAAAAGGTATTGTTGTCCTGAACTTAAATTTGAAAAGATATTTCACCTGTGATCACTTTTCGTAAAGTTATGGGGGTTAAAGGATTGCCATTTTGGTGAATTTGGGATAGATTTCGCGCTATTAACTTGCACTAGATTTCGCGCTGGAGATTTAATTGTCTCAGAAATCGTTCCAAATTGGTTGAAGAACGATTATGCTTTTTTGCCATAAATTATTTGTTACTGGGAGCAAAACTTATCACTTTATGCTGTATATGACGTGTGGGGGGATAATTTTCACAAAAAAAAATCTCGAATAAAAAAAATTAGTTTTATTTTATTATATTTTTTTTTATTACTGCTGCATTAGATCTTAAGAGGCAGTCTGAACAATCAGGGCTTCGCCCTGATACAAGCAGTCTTGTTAACTCTAAAAGCAAGCTAAATAGACCAGGAGTTTTGTTACTTGACGCAAACTTTAAGCTTTGATCTTGACACATTCCACTGACTGAAAACGACTTCGGACCTTAAAAGTGAAAATTCATTTTAGTCACGGTTCGACTGTGACCGATCACTTTTCTGGTATTTTAGCTTGTTTTGATTCTTGCAATTTGAGGGTTACTAATTTTTCAAACCAATCAGATTTTATTTGTTAGTTAAAAAAAAATTTCCTTTTTTTTGACATTGAGGAAAATGTTTTCGACACTTGCTGGAATTATAGTGATTAACGCTGAAATGAAACTAATAAGATACCTCAAAATGCAATTCTATACTCTTTTAGGTTACTATTTTTTGTTGAAATTAATTATTTGTGAGCAGTCGTAACAATTAGAGCAAAATAATGACTTCAAATTATGAGAACTGATAAAATGCCGTCTGCTTTGCGAAAATAAGGTCTAAAATTTTACCCTATAACGGATCGTTTTTGGCTTTTCAATCAAAATTAACGCCAAAAACTACTGGTTCAATGGCTGACAAAATTATATCAAAGTGCAAAGTGAGCTTTCTATGTATCCAACAAAGTTCACAAAAGTTATAAGTATCTTCTCACAGTTTTGTATAAGTTAAATCGTTTTACAGTCAAAAGTTCTCATTTTTTTAGATACAAAAAATTCATTAAAAATTAAGATATATCAAAAAAAGGTATTTAGTTGTAAAATATTTTTCAACTTTCGGCGCAATTTTTTGCAGGTATTACCTTTCTTCCTTTCTTAAATTTTGTTGGTTTACAAAAAAGAGGTTCACTTTGACATGGTTTTGTCGGCAATTGAACCAGTACTGTGGCGTAACTTTTTATTGACTGAAAAAAGCCAAAAAGGGGTCTTTTATTTATTTGGACGAAATTTCCAAGTTTTGTATTATTGTAGTAACCAATGTATAAATACAGAGCAAAACACTGATCGCACTGATTCGTTTTGCTAATACAATTGCGATCTTTGTAAGTTTTAGTCGATTTCTAACAAGGTTTAGCAGATGTTTAGCATATTTGCCTCAGCTATTTTCTGTGTTTTTGTTTTGGTCTGGGTAGAAATCTTCAGGTTATTTTATCAAACTTGAATAGTTTCAAAAAAGTTAAAATTTTTGGCTAATTCGGCTTATTTGTAAGTCGACGTAAAATTGGAAACAAAAAATTTTGAAATGATGCTAAAATTTGATTGGCTAATTCTAGCCAATCAAATTGAAGCAAAATAATTTCAGTTCATGATGTTGAAATATTGATTTTTGGGCGGAATAAGTGAAAAGATCCCTCAAAACGATTCAAATTCAGGTTAAATTTTAACTCCAAATTTCGCAATAGCATAAACAATATTTTTCCTTATCATTTTTTGCATTATATCAACCCAATTTGCTCGTTTAAATTTTTCGTATTTTTAACGTTTTGTCCGGATAAATTAAATCAGCCCTTTACCTTCAATATTGCATTGTGTATATCTTCAAGCATGGAAAAATGATCCCAAAGTTATTTGGCAATGATAAATTTTCTAGAAAAACGCGGCGTTGTGAAATTTCAAGCCTCCTCGTTGTGAAACCAAAGATCAAGCATTTGTTACAACTAATTAAATATGGTCACATTTTGCTCACTTTTGGCCATGAAAGCAACAAATTTTTGCATCTTTTGAAATATATTTTATCTGTGAGCATTTTCTCTGTCACGTGATATTTCAGCCTTCAAGGGAAACCCAATTGATTGCTTTTTGATTTAGTGCGATTGATGATGGTGGCCGATTAGGCCTTTAATCAGAAGGGACCCATTTTCTTTCTTGTTTCTGTTTCCGGAACCTGTCTAATCAGATTAGAAAATGCCCGTGACAAATTTGTCTTAATCTAAAGTCGCTTGTCAGTAGCAGTAGACCTTACTGTAAAGTCATGATGGAAAAAAACGATACATTTTCGAGACATGAAAGCTGCCATTTTTTTGGCTTAATGCCTGAATAGCTTTTTAATGTTTTCAATCCTTTCACTTGAATGAGAGCTGAAATCACGTATGGCTTTTCAAGAAATGGTACAATATTCACTCTTAAAAGCATTCAGGGACTAATTAAGTTTTTAATGCACCTTTTATAATAGGTGAGAAAGGCCTGAATTATTCCCCTGAAAACATTTTTCTGTCTGCGTAGACCTCAAAAAGACAGTTGAAAAAAGCAAAGCAAAAAGTATTTGTTTTACATAACAGCCCATATAAATATTCTGTTATTTTAACTTTAAAATTTTTCGCCGTTATTCCAAAAATCATTAAGTAATTGCATTAAGCATCGTTTTTGATAGTTGAGAGAGCTGACTTTGAAAATGAACTATTAAAAAATCGATTATTTGAGCTCTATCGCGCCGCTTGTCAACAACAACTCAACCCGTCTATGAAAGTTTTAATCATCCTTCGTCCATATGAACTAAAAGTATTGATGATAATTAAAAAAAAATGATTTTGAGAAATTGGTCGCCATGATCTCATTTTAATTAGCTGAAGTATAGATCAATTTTTTGTTCATACAACCGAGCCATCATCCGCATTTATTATCTTAGGAAAAGATATAATTTTTCTCTTGTTTCAGATCCCCAATTCATCAACATCAAAATAAACCAAGTGAAGCAGCAAAAGGCAATAAACTTTTTCAAGGCTGACTGGCTATATTGAAAGGGTAGTTTTATTGAAAGGGAATCCCCCTAATCCAACGGTGGCGTTTACCGGATGGTGAAAACGTAACGCTCTTTGATTCACTCAAAAGTATGTCACCAGTCTTTGATGTGATCACGCAGTTTAACAAAAAAGACAGGCAGTGATATGGTTGGTAAAACTCATCTCCCCGATTGGCATTGATTCCTCGATTCGGTAGTTTTTTTTAATCGCAGGACAAAGATAAAGATTAACAGGACAAAAATAGAAAATCGGGTGGAAAAAGGGAAAAAAGGGAAAAGAATTTAAAAAAGAGCTAAAAGAGGAACTTAGAAAAAAAACACCGAACAAAGAAAAAGGAAACTTGATTGAACGGGGTAGATTTCA